TGGGAGTTTTCCTTTGGGGATTTCTTTCAGGAGGTGATAGGTGGATTCTTTCCATTTCTATTTTACCTTCGGGTTCTAGAATATCAGGGCAGTTTTCTTTGATAATTTCTTGAAAGATGATGTGTAGGCTCATTTTTTGATCATGGTTTTCTGGTAGTCCAGTAATTTTTAAATTATCTCTCCTGGATCTTTATTCCAGGGCAGTTGTTTTTCCAGTGAGATGTTTCACATTGTCTTCAATTTTTTCATTCTTTTGGTTTTGTTTTGCAATGTCTTGATTTCTCATAAAGTCATTAGCTTCCATTTGCTCCATTCTAATTTTTAAGGAAGTATTTTCTTCTGTGAGCTTTTGGACTTCCTTTTCCATTTGGTAAATTCTGCTTTTTAAGGCATTCTTCTCCTCATTGGCTTTTTGGACCTCTTTGGCCATTTGGGTTAGTCTATTTTTAAGGTGTCATTTTCTTCAGTGTTTTTTTGGGTCTCCTTTAGCAAGCTGTTGATTTGTTTTTCATGATTTTCTTGCATCACTCTCATTTCTCTTCCTAGTTTTTCCTTCTCAAAATCCTTTTTGAGCTCTTCCATGGCCTGGGACTGATTCATATTTTTCTTTGAGGCTTTGGATGTAAGAGCTTTTGACTTTCTTGTCTTCTTCTGGTTGTATGTTTTGATCTCCTTTGTCACCAAAGTAAGATTCTATAGTCTGACTTTTTTTTTTGCACAGTTTGCTCATGCTCCCAGCCAATTACTTGGGTTTTAAATTCTTTGTTAAGGTAGGGCTCTGCTTCCAGTGTACAGAATGTACTATCCCAGGCTTCTGGGGTTTTGTGCAGCTGTTTTCTTAGATACTTCTAGGGACCTGTAAATTTTCAGTTCTACCAAGGTGGTATGATCGAAGGCGAGGTGTTTATTCCTTTCCTAGCCTGGGCTCTGGTCTATGAGTGACCACAAGCACTCTTTTCTGCCTTGGAACTGTGAGGAGGATTCTCTCTCCACTGCTACCACAAGCTCCACGATGTCAGCGCTCCTCACCCTAGGACTGCCACCCAGAACTGTGACCCAGATCCAAGCACAGATAAAGTAAGAGAATCTTGCCTTAGCATTAGCAAAGAGATCTCTGTATTACCTCTCTGATCAGCTGCTCAATCCCCCGTCCATCTGTGGGCCAAGAGCTCCGGAATCAGCCGCTGCCCTGGGGTTGTGCCGGGACTGGGGTCAGACTGAGCTCTTCTCTCACCATGGTCCAACGGACCTTTCCTACTGACTTTCTAAGTTGTCTTTGGTGTTTGCGGGTTGAGAAGTCTGGAAACCACCACAGCTCCCCTTGATTCAGTCACCTGAGGTCTGCTTCAGGTTCCCTGAAGCCTGGTCTTTGCCTGTGTGGCCCAAGCTGAGCTGTACTCCCCTCCCAGCCTGGAGCAGTAGACCTTTCCAATCAACCATCCATTGGGCTGGAAATTTGTTTCACTCTGTCTTTTTATAGGTTCTGCTGCTCAAGAATTTGTTCAGAGCCGTTTTTTACAGGTATTTGGAGGGATTTGGGGGAGAACTCAAGCAAGTTACTGGTTTTACTCTGCCATCCTGGCTCCGCCCATTTAATTCTTTTGAATTGATTTCCCACCTCTTTTAAGCAGAATTTGGATTCTGCAAGAAGTATTGCATACATTATTTAATAATAGTTTCCTCCCTATCTGTCTCTGTTCCTGATTTTTCTGATATATTCCAATTTTCTTAAATTTTACTTAAGTTGTTATCCCTCCTTCCTTCCTTCTCCCAGCTCAGATAAGGGAATTCTTCCAGTAATTGACACCCTCTTCCCATGTCTTTTAGCTTCTATAACATTCATTTGTTGCATTATTTTTTTCCAGCATGTTAATTTATTTCTCCTCATTTTTTATCCCTTCTAGTCGTTTCTGTAATTAAATTTCTATCTTTCACTCTCTCTGTAGATTATACAAGGTAGAGCTTCTTGGGGACAAAAACTGTGCACTCTATATTACTTCCCACTTAACTGTTAGATTAATCACAGATGGTTGTTTTTCTTCACTAATTTTTTGGGGAAGGGTTATTCAGTGTTCTTGCTGTTATTGTTGTTGATGTTGTTGTCGTGGGGGCACTTTTTCCCCTGAGCCTTACTCCCTGAGATCTCAGGGTAGTGTGGTATGATGGGAGATACACTGTTTCTTGAGTTGCAGAAACTAGTCCTACTCTATGCTCTTATAGTTATTGCTTACTCTTTCTAAGGAGTTTATGTAACCTTTGAGCTTATGTCCTCTTGTCTTCTTTGGATGCTAGATGTCCCTTTAGACTCATATACTCCTTCTTCTTGGGACCCCTAACTATTTTTTGGAGAAGGGAGTCTCCCTGGAACAAAACTTATTTTAGGGCTGCCTATCTCCTCAAGTCCTTTACCTCCACTGTTGTGAACCTACTTTCTCATACCATTTCAGGTGGGTCAAGAAACTTAACAATACCACTGCCTTCTTTCCTCTGAAAGGTCAGGCATGGCAGGAGGGAGTCCTCAACTTTCTCCTATGCCTTCTTTTTCTTTGTCTAAATAATTATGCTATTTAGTGCTGAACCCTTCCCTCTACCCTCATACCCTTGGGGGGGGGGGTTGCTTTTGAATTCAGTTCTTTTTCTTTCTTTTGACTTTTATCTGCCCAGAATTATTAGCCTCTTTGATCCTTTTCCCCAACAGTGATCTCTTAATTGTTTGTCCTTTGATCAATTTAAGAGTGTTTATTTGTTTGTTTGTTTTATTTATGGGGAAAAAAGTCCTCGTCTGGCCCTAGAATCACAAGACAGTTGATTTTATTGTTTAGACTTTTCTTCATAACTCTGCTTATGTACCTTATGTTTCTCTCAAGTTTTTATGTGTCACATATTTTGCTCCTCTCTGGATTCTTTCAGTTAGATGAGTTGATTGTTCCTGTACTGTTGAAAATCTTTTTATTGAGGCAGCTAGGTGGCTCAGTGGATAGAGCACCAGCCCTGAAGTCAGGAGGACCTGAGTTCAAATCTGGCCTCAGAGCAAACACTTGACACTTACTAGCTCTGTGACCCTGGGCAAGTCACTTAACACCAATTGCCTAGAAAAAAAAAAAAGAAAAAAAAATCTTTTTATTTTCAGATCTTGTGTAGGCTGAACTTTTTAGGATACACACAGACACACACACTATATATAAACATATGCATGTGCACACATATCTTTATATAAATTTTTTTCTGGGAAGATTCCTCCTTCACCTTTACATTTTGGAATACCATATTCCAATTTCTTCTCCTTTTTTTTTTTTAAAGAGTAAGATTAGCCCTGAGGTGTTCAGATAATTTTCTTTCAGAGCTAAAATTGTTTTTCTTTGCTTCTTGTTTGAAATTGAAATTATGACGTTTAACCACTATGTTCCTTGGTGATTAAAACTTGGGATTTTCCTTGATTGGTGTTGTGTTGATTTTAACAATCATTACTTTGTTTTTTGTTTTCAATGCTTGTGGACAATTTTCTTGACTTATTTCTTGAAAATGGTAGACTTCTAACTTTTTCTTATTTTTAGGGAGAGCGCTTTAATCTTCAGGTTATATCTTCACATCTTTTCCTCAAACTCAGTAGCTTGGTTATGTGGAGACTTCATGGGCTCTTTCATTACTGCTGTTCTTTAATTCTGTTTTGCCAAATTTGCATCCAGATCTGTATTTTTAAGTTTCACATTTCATTTTTCAAAGTCTCCTCTTTTGAAGAGATTTTCTGTTAATGTATTTTAAGTTGTCTCTTATCTCATTTTGTCATGAGTTCTCCTTTGAGGGCACTGATGTCTGCCTTCACTTAAGTCAGAGTTTTCATTGTTATTTCCTTTTTATACATCTTTCCATCCAATTATTATATTTTAATTTTTCATTTCTTTTTGGATCCATTCTGTAGTTTTTTTATGTTGATTTCTTACTTCTGGTGACCTGTAGAATTTGTCTGACTTCTTTTTCCATTGGGGGATTTTTGTTTTTTCTTGCTCATTTTTCCTTCTCTGTGCTGCTGTATTTTTTCTTCTTGGGATTTAGGTTTATTCCCAAGCTTGTTTCATTGGCTTTCTTGCCCTTTGTCCCAATTTTCTAAGTTAGTTTTAAATCAAACATGTTTACCTTTTGACTCTGCCCCTAACTACTGCCTTGGATTTTGCCCATCATGTTTCAGAGTTCTCCTTGAGCCTGGGGGCAGAAGAATTGGGGGAGGAGGGTGGATGGGCGCCATGTGGTGTATGCCCTGCTGTGTCATCCCTCACTGTACTTCTATTTCAGTGATATGTGTGCATGTGAGAATTTCTTCCTTTAATGCTTCCTTTCACTCAGGCTGGGTGAGTGTAGTACTCTTTTCTTCTCTTAAGGGATGGGCATATAACGAGGTCATACTGAGTCACTGCTCTGGAAAGAGCGATAGAAAATGCTCTACGAAAGCTCTAAATGGCGATCTCTGTACTAGGCAATTTGTGGCTCCTCAACTTAACCCTGGGCTGTTAATGGAGAAAGCTTTCCTTTGTTTGGGGCTTTTCCCATCATTTTCTCTTCTTGTTATATTATTAACTCTATGTATTATTGATTTGTAGTAGTCTGGGTTCTGTGAGTAACTCTGATCCACCTTAGTTTGAGTGACCCCTTTGATTAATATTTGCCGTCATTGTCAGGAGGTGAATAAGCGTTATGATTTTTAGCTGTCTTATCCTTCAATGTTTTATGTGAAATATCCCAAATTCCTTAGAATACTGGTCTTCAACCAATAGAGAGGATTACTTGTTACCATGCTCCCCTTTTATCTGTTTGTAAATTCTTGACTGGGTGGTAAACACAACTTCTCCCATGAAAAATTTTGGAGATCCCTTTGGCTTATTGTTTAACATAAATTCATTCAAATGTTGCTTCAAAATTAAAGAACCTTAGATCTATACTTAGTGTTATTATAATTTAAATATTAATGAGTAAATTTGACTTTTAAAATTTTCACTTATTTTTAGATATGACCTTGCTGTGTAATTCAGTGTCTAGTAGTGAGTATTTCTATGATGGATATTGCTCTCCATTGAAGTATACTGACAAGTCAGTATCATCTCGCAAGATGTCTAACAAACTTGAGCAAAGTTTGCTTCCACCTCATATCAATCAGATATATAATGAATTATCTCTAATACATCAGAAACTGCAGGTGAGATGATGAACTGAAAATTTTGAAATGTTTATGTTCTTAGCAGTTAACATCCAATAAAATTTACATGTGAAGTATATTAGTTATTGAAAGCAGCATGGATAATGATGAGAGAAGAATTAATATTCATCTGTGAGAACTTTTTGAAAGGGGAAGAAATGGATGGATGGGTAAAAATAGTGTATGGGGGCATTGTCTAAAGGTAATTACACTAGGCAGATAAAGATGTGTGTTTTATGACTGGCTTCACTTCTCTGGGATCTTTTTTTGGGGGGAGGTGTTAAACTTGTGATTTGATAGATACAAACTCATGGTGAGGAAGTTCCCTCTACTAGTGCTGATCAGCAAATGTTCTGCAATTTGTAAGCTCTGTGTTCACTGTGCAGTTGTGTTGGACTTACCCAGGGTCACACAGGCAGCACACAGTATCAGTCACCTGGACTTGAACTCAGGTTTTCCTGACATTATGCCATGCTGCCTCCTGCAAAATCATAAAATCATAAATTTAGAACTTGAAAGGAGGTCAGTTTCCCTTTCTGAGCCTTGATTTTTTTCATCTGTAAAATCAGAGATTTGGACTGTGGTTCTTAGTTCCTTCTCCCTTGTCCTTTTCCTAACTATCTCAGCAATTCTCTCTGATGCAAGTTACTCCATGAAGTGTTTCCCATATTTCTAGTAAACACACTTTAAATTTTTTTCTTCACAAAACTTCTTCAGGAAACACTTCAGAAAATTACCTTACTCCAAATCTGTCATTTAAAGTAAAAGTGGAAAGTACTGTTCTTGTAATGATAAAGATTGTGACATAAGCTTAAATTCTGGGCCCCTTTTGGGGGGAAAATTCCCCTTTATTGGTTGTAAAATTATCAGAACTTTCAGAGAAAGGGTATCCTTGTTTTTGCATGAGTCCCTGCAATTTCGAGGTCTTTGGTTATATTATGTTTGCAATTCATGAAGTTTCACTTTTTGAAGAAATTAAATTTGTAACATCTTCTCTTTCAGTCTGCAGCCTGATTATAAGTATTGGCCACAAACATTCCTGAAGTCTTTCATAAAGAGATTTTTGGGCAGAAACAAGCAGGAATATCATTGCTTGTTCTTAAAATACTGTTTTAACTTTCTTGTTCATAATAGAACAGTTTAGTCTCTGTGAGAACTGGCATTTCATTTAGCATGCTTCTGTGATTTAGCACATTCATAGTATTCTTTTGCAAAATTTCTGTTAAAATTTCTTCATCATGCTATTTCTAGCTATTGTGTAATCCACATTTTAGTGAGACTCCCAAGTGTTTTCTAAAGAATGTTTATTTCATTGAAGTAAACTTGCATCAAAAAAAGCAATGTTTTACACCAAATGTATGTGTATTTTGGGTTTGTTTAAAAAAAAAAACCTTAAAAAACTTGAATATTTTGATACAGCAAGAAACTGCAGGACAGCAGGAGTTTGCTGCACAGCTTCATAAGCGAGAACATTTTTTAAGTCAAAAAGAAGAGCTGCTAATCCAACATGAAGCTGCTTTGACTAAAATTAAAAGTGTTGAAGAAGAAATTCGTACAAAATTTCAAATTATGAAAGAGGTAACTTTATATAGAGAGATTTCAGCTTACTGTAAACAATTTTCTTCTTGACATGGTTAATTAAAAAACTAAGTTTTACTACTTGATTTCATTACGGGTGTATTTGGAATGAAGACAGCCCTATAAGGAAATGAACATTTATTTTCATTTGGATTTAGGGAATATAGGACTTAGTAACTTGAAACAGTGTAAATAAGCATGTGTATGTTGAATGAATCTTTTGAACAGTCATATTTTTCTGCTTTTATGGTTTTTCAACCAAATGTAAAGCTAAGAGCTTGAGACAAAATGAAGCTTACTACTGATAGTTTTTAAAGCTGTTAGATGCGAAAAATGGAATGAAGTTAATTTATTATGATATTTATTCCTAGCTTGGCATGCCCCCTAATGAAGGGATTTGCCCTGCCAAGAAATACTACCAAATCCTAGATTGTATGCTTTTCTGTATTCTGGTCTCTTACTTATACGTTTTATGTGATGGATTTTTAATGTCCCTTGAATTTGAAAAAGGTTGTACTAGTGAGTGCTGTACTAGTGCTTAGCACAGTGTCTGCTATGTGTTGGACTGAATAAATACTTGTTGGTTTTTTAACTTGACTATAATTTAATGAAATAAAATTATTTTTCCTTAAGATCATGGAATCAATATTCCAATAGGAATGTCCAGGCTGAGTGAAGAGGCAGTGTGGTACAGTTGAAAGGACAGAGGATTTGGAGTCAGAAGATCTGGGTTTGAATCCCAGCTCTGTCACTTACTGCTTATGTGACCTTGGGCAACTCACTTAACCTTTCTGGGCCTCAGTTTCTTCATTTGTAAAATAAAGGGATTGAATTGGGTGACATCTGAAATCCCCTTTAGTTCCAGATCTGTGAGTCTCTAATAAAGGTCACTGATTTTCCAGATTTCTTTGCCTCTTCTAGTGAGGCTATTTTTTCCATGCCTCTGTACCTGCTGTGCTTAAAATGGGTTCAGCTACTACCCTTAATTTTCATAATATTTATATAATTAACTTGAGAACAATCTTGATTTTGGTTCTTAGTACTGTGAAACCTTAAAGCAACCTGCTCGTTTACATACATTCTGAATTAATTGAATGAAGAGGAAGACAACTACAAGTTTTAGCAGTTTATCTCTAAAGCTTGTTATTTTTATTTTAATTTGTAAAATAGGGAAAAGTTGGTTTGGATCACTTCATCTACTTTATGTACCCCATCATTTTTTTATACCTATTTAGTTACTCTTGTCATACTTTGTGATGATTCAGTTTTAGAAATAATATTGTTGAGAAGCTCAGCTGCTTAATAACACCAAATATTTGAGCTGATGCAACTTTTAAACATCTGTTTTCTAGTATTAGTTTCTGCTTTATCTTACCCATTTTGGACTACTTTCTAAAGAAAGCTCTTTATCACATTTATAGGATACTCTAGATCCTTCCCTGTAGTAGATGAAATACACCTACACTGTGTCTATATCATACCTCTAAATTGTCTTTCTCTTATTCGTTGACAAAATAAACCATTCATACTGGTTGGTTATCATGTAGATAAAACATCTGGTTGATTGGCTTATTATTCCTACTCTTTAGGTAGTTATTGAATTATACATATAATCTTAATTTGGAATTGAACATTTGGGCAACTGACAAATGTTTCTTTGGGTCTTTTGCTCTCTCTGTCAGAACTTAATATTTTCTTGGAAGAGATCAAATGTTGATTAATTTATTTTCATTTAACATAAATTTTCCAACTTTACATATCCATTGGTATTTCATAAATGCTATTTGTGATGTTTTTTGAATTATCTTATTTTTCTATGTTTGATTCTATCCATTACCAAAAATAGATCCCTGAGTGTCATTCTTAGTGATCTGAACTTAGATCAAGTGGCCACAATTTTCATGATGATTAAGTCATCAGGTGTGCCATAAAGTTTTATGATTTTGTTAGATCTGCATGATTTAAAATGGTGACTATTTAAAATATCAATAGCTTTTAATTAATTGATGTTAGTTGGTAACTTTCTGAACATATTACTGATACTGTATCCTTACCTAATTTTTAGAAGTTGTTTTTTCCCCTAAGCATCACATTGAAGAAATTAAGCACTTAACAGAAGCTCTTAAAGAAAAGACTAAAGAAAACAAGAGGCTAAAGTCATCTTTTGACACATTGAAAGAATTAAATGATAACCTGAAAAAACAGGCAAGAGCTATTTTCATTTTTATTTGTGTGTAAAACTTAAATATTAAGACATATTACGTTTAGAGAAAGTTTGGTAACAATAGTAATTTTATCAAAGGCTAATATTTTAAGCGTGACAATCCTTAAATGATCATCTTTTTCCTCAGTCACTTTGGTAAGAGTTCAACACTTAGATGTTGGAAATATGAAATTTCTGTAGATTACAAAGCGATCATAGAGTTTTTTTTTTAAAAAAAAAAACAAACTATCTTTAGCCAATGAAAGAAATATTTTGGCTTTGGGAACAAATTGATATCTTAAAACACTGGTTTCTGGCCATATTGAATATCATAAGCCACTGTTTTGTAGTTTTTGTTTCGGTGTTTGTTCTTTTTTTACTTTCTTCTGAAAATTTTGAATCTCAGGCTCTTGGTGATGGAAAAGCAATGGCAGGAAAAAGAAGATTCTCTCTCTCTCTGTTTGTCTTTCTCTATCTGCCTTTATCTGTCTGTCATGTTTGAGGAGGAGAGATTTATGTATAATATGCTTAAGCATTGGGATACAAATAGAAAAAGCAAGACAGTTCCTGATCTAAAGGTACAGTGGCAAAGCACATGATAATGCATCTTTTAAAATGTCTTTTCCACTGAAAAAAGCATATATTTCTGATGTTCAGTTACTTAACAATACTTTTGTGGTGAGAATTTTCTTTTTCAGTTCTTCAGTACTTGTTGTTTTTGAGAAGAGTAGTGGACAGCAGCACCTGCAGAAGCAGTTGACAGATTGTAGCTTCACAGACGTTACTTTCCAGAACAATGATTTGTGGTCTGAGAGGGCATTGATATTCCTGGGGCTCTTGGGTTTACCTGCCCCTGGATGGTAGTCAGTCAGTGGTTGGTGCTGGTTAGAATGGCAGTTTCCTTCTCTACAACGATTGCTCTCCTTATTGATGGCTATGACACATTGGCTGGAAACAGGACTGATAGTTTGGAGGATATTGCAGTTCCCAGGGCTCTTGGACTGTGGGTGTCCTGGGCTATCTCCACTAGGATGGAAGGGGAGGTGGTGGTCAAGGTGGTGTTGGTTTTAACTGCCTAGCGCATGTTGCTTCTTGTTTCTTTCTCTGAACCCCTTACTGCTTAAGCCAGGCTCACTTGCCTTCCCTCCATGTATATGGCAACACGCATGGTGTTGAGAATGGTGGTACCCTTCTTCTTAAGGTTTGCTCCTCTGGATGTTGGCTATAGAGGCCAAACCAGGAGGAGTGCTGGTGGTCTGGGGGTGCTGCTCTTCCTGGGTCTCTTGGGCTTGCCTGCCCATTGGTTGGCAGTTGGTATTGGTTGTGATGGGACTGATGAGCCCCTTCACTACAGAGTTTGCTTCCCTCTGTAATAGGTGTGGGAGGTGGACTACAAGTTAGACTGTTGGTCTTGGAGGCACTGCATTTCCTGGTGCTCTTAGGCTCTGAGTTTTGGCCTGTTTCCCTGGCATCAGAAGGGAGGTAGTGTCAAAGTGGTGATAGTGGTTTGACCCACCTGGCATATGCTACTTCATCTCTCCTTAGGGTACCTCCTGGCTTAAGCTTGGAAGGCTTACCTGCCTCATTGGTGGTAGCTGGTCAAATGTAGACTCTTGTGTTCTGGACTGAAAAAAAATCGGGGTTGATAAATTCTTCTGCACACTATTAAGTGACAGTGTTTTTTTGCAGTGACCTTATGTTAGCCTAGATGAATATTGATAGGTTGGAGCTCTCAAATTGCTGAAAGAAGCACATACATATATATGTGAATGAATATATGTATGTATATACATATATACATATATATGTATTTCTTTTGTCACTTACAGACACAAATGATCATTTATCTCTGCCGCAGACAGAAAAAAATTGTAGACAAATAGATTTTTTATGCTAGTATATATACATTTTGTTTATGATGCACTGAGAATTATAAGTTTCCAGAATATAACATTGTCCTTTCTAGAGAGACTCTTGACATTTATACTGAGTTGTAGGTTGAGTTGTTACTTATTTTGTAAACCTTTAAAGCACTATTTCAGTTTGAGTTATTATTGCAAAAGCACACACATAAACTTTGGTACTTTGCTGTTGATGTTTTGAAAGATCATTGACTTTAGTGGGGTACTCATTCTACCAACACATTAAAATCCTTTGTATGTCAGTCATCCTTAATGATGAGCTTTTCTGTTTTTTGCTGGCCTGGTAATCAGATCACTGATCTTTAGGCTATATACAAAGTTTTGTGTATACTAATACATAAAAATACGTAATACTAAAAATATTAGCTTCAGAGTATAGATCAGAACTTGTGCTCTTACTAGCATAGCCTTTAAAAAAGCCAATCACCTTTATAATGAAATATTGGAAATACGATTTTAGTTAAGATGTATACATAGCAAAATAATAATTGTATTCCTATTACTGTTGAGGGCATCACCATCCTCTCAGTCCCCCAGCCTCACAGCCTAGATGTCATCCTTGACTTTTCACTCTCATCCTTCTTACCTGGTCTTTTGTGAAGGCCTTTCAGTTTCACCTTTGTACCGTCTCTCACATATGCCCTCTTCTCTCCTCTGACATTACTACAACTCTAGTTTAGACCTTTATCACCACATACCTGGACTACAGAAATAACCTGCTAGTAGGTCTGCCTGCCACAAAATTCTCCTCACTCTAATTCATCTTATGTTTAGCTGTCAAAGTCACCCCCTTACTTAATAAACTCCATTAGTTTGTCACCTCCAGTATCAGATTTAAAACCCTCTGTCAGTTGTGCAAAGCCCTTCATAACCTGTTTCCCTCTCCTCCTTCCCCCCCCATCCTCTAGTCTTCTTACTCCTTATACTTCCCCTCCCCTCCTTTGATCCATCAACACTGGATCCATCAACACCATCAACATTCCATGTTGTTTCTTGAACAAAACTCCAACTACCAACTTGGAGTATTTTCACTGACTGTCCTTCTTTCATGGAATTCTTTCCTTCCTCATCTCGACTTCCTGACTTCCTTCAAGTTCTGGATAAAATCCCACCTTCTGCAGGAAGTCTTTCTTGTCCTTCTTAATTGTAGTCACTTTCTTCTGTTGATTTTTTTTTCTAGTTTATCCTGTGTATGGGGGACAGCTAAGTGGTACAGTGGATAGAACACTGGCCCTGGAGTCAGGAGGACCTGAGTTCAAAACTGAGTTCAGACACATAACACATAACTAGCTGTGTGACTTGGGGCAAGTAACTTAACCCTAATTGCCTCACCAAGAAAAAAAAAAAAGAAAAGGTAGTGAGTATAGTTTATCCTGTGAATAGGTTGTTTATATAAAGGTATTTGCATATTTTCTCCTACATTGGATTGTGAGCTCCTTGAGAGCAAGGACTGTTTTGACCCTTTCTTTGTGTCCACAGCATTTAGCACAAAATCTGGCACAGTATGTACTTAATAAATGTTTATTAATTGACTGAAATATGATTGAGAATTGCATTAAATTTTATTTCTGTAAAAATTTTACTTTTCTCTTTTAGTTAAATGATGTAAGTGAACAAAACAAGAAAATGGAAGTTCAGGCTAAAAGAGTTCAAGGTCGTTTAGAAAATTTACAGGTGAGTTTTCTACTTTTTCACATTAGTTTTCTTTAAAGTCCTTTTGTTTTTGATCATTTTAAAGATAAATGTCATTCATTTCATGAGCAATGTACCTTTACAGAGGAAGTGTGATTTTGTGGCAGTACAGAAGTGTAAAGCTATTTCTCCATCCCTTCATGAAATGAAAACTACAAAGCAAGAAAAAACATCAACTGCAAGAATTAATAAGGTACAATATGAACAGTAACATTATAAATAGAAAGGAAGGATAAAATGGACCTATTTGATGATCATTTTTAGCCCTTTGTCAAACATAGTTCAAAATAAAAAATTAGAATATTATAGTGTGATGCTTAAATAAATACATGAAGCCTTTGAAGAAGATAGGAAAGCAGAAACTTAGAATAAAAAGTTCTCTACTACTTAATATAATAAATTTCGCTGTTGTGTTGTTTTTTAGATTTTTTTCACCTAGTTCTCTTTATATTGAGATTTATTGTCTGTTGACACCTGAAGAATCTTTTCACCACTGACTAGTCTGTCATAAAATATCACTTAGTGGTGTTTGTTTGGTAAATTATTTTACTGTCTCTGGACCTTAGTTTGCTCTTTAAAATAATAATAGCCAGTTTTATATAATACATTAGGGTTTGTGATTTAAGTATGTTATTTCGTATGATTCTCACAATAACTGGAGATAAGTACTACAGGCATTATTCTGATTTTACAGATGAGGTGATCAGATTGCCATGGTCACACATCTAGGAAGTGTTTGAGCCTGGATTTGAACCCAGATGTCTGAGTCCCAGGCCAGCATCATTATTGCCACTCTTATACTGCCTTTAAGGTCCTTTCTGTCTCTAAATACAGTGACCCTCTAGTAAAGAGCAGGCCAAAGAAATCTGTGCAGTTATGCAAATTGTTTTTGAGTTACTACATCTTTATCCTTTTTTTTTTCCTTTCACACTAGTTTTCAGAGTATATGGTAGTATTTGAATACTTGAAGTATTTTTTTTAGTACAGAGAGCTTCAGTGTGAGAACTCCTTCCTCCAACTGAAGAGATAAATAACCTGTCTGTAACTTAGACAAATTCTAGGGAGTTGCCTGGGGCACATAGCAAGTAAGTAACTTGCCTACCAGCCACTGTCAGAGGTGGGATCTAAAGCCATGTTTTTCTAAGTTTGTATTTTTTTTATGCTATAAATATGTATATATGCATTTCACAACTTCAGGAATTTGATGCAAATGGAAGCTCCTCTGTGCATTAGTTAAAAAAAAACAAGTAGAAAGAAAAAGAAATATATTTACCAGCTCTCTGGTGTTGAGCTTCTCCTGGTTGGTTTAACTAGGTTGGTTGTCAGATACACAGGTCTTTCCAATCTGGCGTAGGATCTGCTGGGGCTCTACAAGAATGACCTTTTAGAAACAGAGGACACCTCCATGCTGTGAAGTGGCATCTAAATAGGTTTTTATTTGTCATATTTCTCTCTGTTGTTCTTTGAGGAAAGAATTTGCAGCAGAGATTACTAAAATAGGAATTTCCTGGCTATCAGGATCTTTCAGTTTGTTAATCCTTTATTGTGGTTGTTCATATCCAATTGTAAAAGGGAAATTCCATTGAACCAAACTTATATAAGGAGCTATGAGTGATTCCTAAGGCAAATACATGCTTATTTTTTGGAAGGCTTATTTATTGCATTGTATATTAAGAGACATCAATGTTCATAAGGATTTTTTTGGTTATTTTGGAGCAAGTATATAACCTTATCATTCAATAAAGACAAATTGTGAAGTAAAATATTTATGTTGGTTTTTCCATAATCATTTGATAAATTTTTGAGTTATTTGAGTTCCTGTAATGAGAATGAGTTGAAATCAAAGAATTTATGACTTGATTTCTGAATTATAGGTTAATGGACGTGTCTATGAGATTTTAATTGTTTTGATGGAATGGATCTCAGACTATCATCTTAGCAAACTGAAACCGGAAGATGATGAAGGAGATGATCAAAAGCAGTCAGGCCAATTTTCTACCCATAAAAACTATATTCAAGAGAAATGTGTGAAGGTATTTTTGAACTTTGAAATATAAAAAGAAACTGTATTGCATTTTCTAAAAACAACATTGTAATTCAACATGTAAAAAATATTGAAAATAATTTTCATTGCTTTTTTAATTCTAAACATAGTTCTTGAAATAGGAGAACTTTTAAGTTATTTTCTTTTATTGTTATTTATTTCAGGTACATTTCACTTATGTCAAACTCCAAATTAGTAGCCCGCATCTTTTTTCCCCCCAAGTTCAGGTTATTATCTTTAAGTAATAGAAATATTTCCTTTTATTTATAAATAAACAAACTCTTAAGTAAATCTTTTCCCAAAAAAAGTGAAATATTTATCAGATGTTAAGGCCAACAATTATGCATCAACATAATAATAGCAGTAGGGAAGAATACTTAGCATATTAACGACTTAGGGTTCTATTTATACTTCTGTTGTGAATGAGGAATTTATTTTATCCTTATTGTATCCTTGTATTGTAGGTATCAGGATGGTAACATTAGTTGATCTTGGTTTCCTCTAACTCATTTACTTACAGGCAGTATTTTTTTGAAAAGGGCAAATTGTCTTACTTAAAAACAAACATGAATAGTCTTGATAATATACAACTAAAATTCTAGTTAATTATCTGTTATTTAGTCTTAGATGTAATTGGTATAAAGGTTTTTTGATTAGACATGAATTATAACTGTGAAAGAGTAACTTTTTTTTATAAACATGTCAGAACTGATGCATGTAAGTCAGTTTTGTTTTAAACAAAAGTATTGGAACTTACACGTCTAAGAGTATTGTCTCCTTCCTTGTAGTCATTTTGAGGGAAGTCTTACAGTTATTCTAATAATGTTGTAATTGCTAAAAATATTTTTTGAAAACAATGTTTTGTACAGAAGACATTTTTGGACATTTTCAAATATAATGCCTTCATTTTTTTAAAAACATTTTTTTCCTGCAGCTTTTACCTGTGATTGCAGAGCAGCTACAGTGGATGCCATTTGTTAACCTCAAACTGCATTTGCCTGTAATAAAATTTATTTATTGGTCTATAAGACAGCTAGATTATGGAACACAGGTAAATAGTAATAGTATTCTGTTTTCAACTAACATTCATTCATTATTATTTCTTGAATATAGTCCCAGATGACCAGCCTAGCTAAGTACAGATAGTCTCTTTACCAAAAGGCTAGTAACAAGGTAATGATTTGCCCAAAACAACCCATGAAACTAAGAAAAGTACAAAATGCCACTTAGTCCTATTAGGCTCCTGTCTGCTCTTGCAGTGATGGATGTAGAGCATTGAGAAAAGGGGCAATAGGTGATAAGAAGCACACAGCTTTTAGATAGTGGAAATATTAACTTAGCTGTTGTTACTCTAGATGAGAGTATCCCACTGCCCATTGTCTCATTCCTATCCTTCAACCCTAACCCTACCAATGAGCTCTAGTCTTGCCTGCTCTTTGTACTGTGTCCTCTGGATCTCCTATTCTGTAATTAACAAACTTCCTTTCATTTTAGATCTCTTCCTCTCATGATCTTTCCATATTCTCGCACCCCCAGAAACATGGTTCCCCCAGATGACATTGCATTCTTAGTGATCCTATCCAGTATCTGTGGTACTTTTTCTCCTATCCCTGATCTCCCACCCCTAAGACACAAGTCCTAGAAGGGGAACTGTCATATTTCTTATTCCACACTTCCATTGCTGTGCTCTCACTATGTCACCATCACTTAGCATCTTCCCCTTCTTTGAGATTCACTCTATTCAAATTTGTCACCTAATCCAGATCCTGATGATAGCTATTTTCCAGCCCCCAGGTCATTCTCCCTGGTTTCTCAGAGTTCAGTACCTAACTTCCAGCCTTCCTATCTACTCCAGTTTTTGCCCTTATGTTATGGGACTGCAATATATATATATTAATTAGTTCCCTCAAACATCCCATCTTCCTGTTTTCTCAATCTATTCAACTCCTATGACCAACTCTTGTACTCCCCCTTAGCTCTGACCACTTGCGTAGTCATACTCTTGATCTTGCCTCCACCCACAAATGTTTTCCTTCCATGCTCGAGAACTCTGACATTTCTAATAATTTAAATCTAATTAAATCTAATTAAACTTCATCATTTGTTATGCCCTGCTCCTCCTGGACCTATTTTTCATTCTCACTGTGACCTCTGATCCTTTACCATTTTGTACGTTGCCAAGGCTGTTGTTCCTGTCATGGCTTCAATTTCTTCCCTTTCCAGTCTTGACCTTGTAATTAACCATTTCAACCTTACAGTGTCCTTTACCCTTAAATTCTTTGTTCTCCTGTATTATTGCTCTTCCTGCCTTGCCAAATGCTAAGTCTGGATTATTCCTACCATGTACTTCCTTTGATTAATCTCACTTGAGGGAGCTGGAGGAAAGCACAAAAACTGCTGACTTATTGTCTAATCATCATTGGACCTACACTGCCACAAGGCAATCCCTAATTGTGTGTGTGTGTGTGTGTGTGTGTGTGTGTGATACTGTTCTCTCTCTCTCTTTCTGTCTCCCACACACATTCTACTCCTTCTAGTGGCTGTTCCAAATTTTATTTTTTCTCCTGAGATCTATATGCCTCCTAGGATTTCATCCTCTCAGCTGAAGACTTTGCCTCATACTTGACTGTATGAGAAAATAGAGGCCTTTTTGCCATGACTTCTGTCTTCTCTACTTCTCTATCACAACTCCTTGATGTCATTTCCCCATTCACTCCTTATTTACTCCAATCTCTAATGAAGAGATGACCTTTCTCACAAAGAGCAACTCCAGTACGGGTGCCTTTTTGATGCTCCCTCTTATTTCTTCTAGGTGATTTCCTTAACTCATTCAATCAATTAATGAGTATTTATCAAAGGTGTACTGTGTGCCAAGTACCACGTACTGGGGATACAAGGGATAAAACAGTCTTCCTACCCCTCTAATCTTTGGTCTCTCCCTGTCTACTGTTTTTTTCTCTACTGATTATAAACATGTCCAAGTCTGTCCTTTAAAAAACAAACAGAAAAAGCATGACTTCAAGCTACTGTTTTAAATTTTTCATCTCTTTCTCATCCCAACTTCTAGGATATCTACATCCTAGGGTCTACGCTCATTACCTACACTTACTGTCCTCTCACTTATCAACATTTTGCCTCCGACTTCATCATGCAACTCAAGTTGTTTTCTTTAAAGTTACCAATGTCTTTTTATTTATAAATCTCTTGGCTTCTTTCTCAATCCTAACCCTTCTTGGACTTTTAGTGGCATTTGAAATGGTTGACCAGCCTTTCTTGGATACTCTTTCTTCTTTGAGTTTTTGTGACATTGCTTTCTTCTGGTTCTTCTGCTAGTCTGGTTGAGTGAAGTGGTCTGTCTTGGTCTTGACCTGGGCCACTTGGGTTTTTGTGTTGACCTCCTTTTTTTTTTAATTGGGATTAGACCTTTTTCTTCAAGGATCAGAATGCTGAATTTTCAGGGCCCTCTCTGGTTTCAGAGGGCTAGAGACCTTGAAATTTCTGGCCCTGGGGTGTTTAGTTCTCCATACTATTGCCTGTTATTCCTAATATCCCTGGTCTAACTTTCTGACCACTCTAGGGATATTTTTGGGAGGATGCACATAATTTGGGTTATCTTAAGAGCATTCTGTTGTTGCTTATCATGAGTACTGCAATGTGAGATGAACAAATGTCCCATGTTATATTTGTGTTGCCTTTGGCCTTATGAGAAAAGTAACTGTACCAGAGCTTTCCATTTAATTGCAGCCTCTTTATGTCTTCTGGTTTTATTTGTAGTTAGAATGTCAGTGTGGATGTGATTCATTCCTCCAGGAAGGTATAAATTCATTGGTTATTGGACAAAGATCTCACATTAAGAGTACCTCCTATTTCCTTTTCTGCCAGTCTGTCACTGTTGCTTCAGATGTACAACAGGACTGCACAGCACTTTTTACATTTTTCTTTGTTTCATGGGGCCCTGTAACTAAAGAATTGATTGTTTAACCAGTTTGCTGATGAAGTGTATTTCCATACCTCTCATGGGTTGATCTTAGGTAACAGGTAGAGTTTGTTGCTGTGATGACACTTGAAGCCTTTTCACCTTGGTAGAACCTGTGAGAACTTGCGTTGCATTAGTATGGCTTTTGCAACCCAGGATTACTTTCTTGCTATGATGATGCGTTGAAGGAGGATTTTATGGGAAGGGCCCATTAGACAGCTTCTTGTCTCATGGATAGTGGTACTTCACTTGGGCTGACCACCTCATACCCCTCACTTTTGGTATACCTTCATTTCTGGACATAAATAATTTAAATGATGCTTTTATCTCGATCCTAGTAGGCAGTTAATTTCTGTCAAAACTTTAATCTGAGTTTCTTAAATATACCCAAATATAAAACACTTAAGTATTTTATATTTTAATAAGATTTTTTCCTCCATTTTTCTCCATTATTTCATCTTAGGTCATTCAAATATTATTTTAGGACAGGTTTTGTTTTTTAATATAGAACTTAGAACGTGAACTATTTAGAATTTCTGTTTTGACTTTGATTTATGTACATCTGTAGCCACACTGTGAAAATAGTACATCTTTTTAACAGCATTCAACTATGACAGCAACAATGAGGCGACTAGGTGAAGAACTCTTCAAAGGAGTAACTACAGGGACTCATGATTCTTCTCCAGAACATTTTGTGGCAACTAAGCCAAAGACAGCAGTTTTCTTTAAGAGCCCAAATTTATCTTTAAGATTTCTGTCAACTTTAATTGTACTCAAAACAGTAACTCAAGGTAAGCTCTCAAAATCTGTTTGTAGCTTTACTTTTGGTAAACACCTGCGATGTAAGGGAAAACTATTATTCAACAACTTCTACTGTCTGCATGGGTTTTATGGTTGTAAAATATAAAGTTCTGATTTGGGTTATTGTATTAAAATTTTTTCAGTTACTTTTCTGATGCTATTATGACATCTTTTGATATGTCAAGTATTTATCATGAGAGGACACTGATTGATAGTGTGAATTAAAGTGGAGCTTAGTGCTCAAGCTATTGGAGATTCTCATGGTTAGTTCAAAGAGAGAATTTATTTCGGAGTGAATTTCTTTGTTCACCTAGTAGATGAAGAACAGCAAATCTTTTAGAAAATCTGAGGGTAGTGGGGCAGCTAGGTGGCACAGTGGGTAGAGCACCAGCCCTGAAGTCAAGAGGACCTGAGCTCAAATCCAGCCTCAGACCAAACACTTTACACTTACTAGCTGTGTGACTCTGGGCAAGTCACTTAACCCCAATTGCCTTTAAAAAAAAAAAAAAAGAAAAGAAAATCTGAGGGTAGTAACCAGGACCCTGGTTAGTTACATGGTCACTGCCAAATCATCTTACATTTTCTCAGGTGCATTGTATACTTTCCTATTATGTTAGAAATTACCTTGATTTAAATTGTTTGCCTGTTTGTGCTTTTAACACTCTAGACTTTGGGGGGCATTAGTGGTAGGAAGGGGAGAAAAAAATTGATACACTGGTATCTGAGCCTTGACATTATTGTAAGTGGTGTTATTCTTCTGTGGGACCCTAATCCTTCTACTCCTGGATATATTCTTTCTGTTCTCTGTCCATGAGCTTCATAAACATGAGTGTGGTTTTATACTCCTCCAGTCTTAATCCGTGACTCATTGTGTCTAACTATTACTACATTCTTGCTTTTATTAGAGAAAAGTAGAGGCAGATAAGAAATGAGCTTTTGGAGGTATTTTTCATTTTGAGGCCACTCTAAAACAACACGTATCACTATTTATGTAGAATTGCAGAGCAAATGCCAGGGTTTGAAGGTATGTCCGCATACCAATTACTATTACTAGCTTTCTCCTCCCCAGAGTATCTGAATTAAAGATTTGTAGGGGCTGACAAGAGATAGGGGGCTTATACTGTCAGCCAGAAGAGCCCTTGATTAAGCTACTGGGTTCTAATTCCAGTTCTGCCATTGCCTATGACCTTAGACAAGTCACGTAACTTCTGTGAGTTTCAATTTCTTTCTTTCCTCTCTCAGGTCCTTTCCAGTTCTTTTGAATAAGAAAATTTTGGTGCTGCTTTTTAGAAAGCTTCAATGTTAGAAAAACTAAGATCACAAAGCAGTTATTAAAAAAGGATACTATATACCCTATTGGAAAATTTATCATACCCTGAAGTATACAACTTATTTTAAATCCTATCAGAAGATTGGATGTTAATGAGAAATTATCATTCTTGTCAACTTAAAGAAATACAGTAGGTGGCGCTGTGATTAAACTTTTGCTCCTACTTAGTGAAATTAGTTCATAATTTAAGTCTACTTCAAATTATTTTATCTTTTTGCTAAGTTAAAATGAAAGATGTAGAGAATTCTCTTACTTAACAAAACTATGTTTGATTTTACTTAATTGCAAATGATTAAGAACTGCTCCAGTACTGTAGGGAGATAGTTCTGAGTTCCTTGAACCTGATTCTATAGGAAATAATTTGTTAATTAAATTAGTAACTGCTAGATTAAAATCTTTATTTCTGAAGATTTTTTCATGTGGATATTATTTTCATATCAATGCTTCACACTTTATGGCAATCTACAATTCTGATTGTCTTAATTGTCAGATTTCTGTTCAAGTGTTCTAAAATGCAACCACTATGACAAAAATAATTTGAGGATAAATTGCAATACTGTGAACTCTATATTGTGTAGTAGAGAAATTTCACTCGCAAAAAATAACTGTTGCCATTATTTGGACAGCAACTGTTTACTAGCCATTACTATAGAAGGAGAGTTTTAGGAAGTTTGTGCTTTGCAATATTCATAAACTTTTCTAAAATATAATATAAAAGGTTTTGTTTAATCAGCAAATAATTATTAAGCACCTAGTACTATATGCCAGACATTGTGCTAAGCTCTGGGGATACAAAGACAAAAGTGAAACAGTTCCTATTCTCAAGGAACTCAAATTCTACTGCAAGAGGACACAACATCTACATATATTATTGTATATATGTTTATACGTAATGCACACAAAATGAATACAAGGTGATGAGTATACTAATATCTAGGGGAATCAGGTGAGGCTTCACAGAGAAAGTGGCATTCGAGTTGAGTTTTGAAAAAGACAATGGATTTTAAGAGGTTGAGGTAAGGAACAAAGGATAGCAAATACAAAGACATGAAGATGGGAGATGGCGTGGGGATCACCGAGATGGCTGAAGGGCAGAGAGTGTGGAGAAGGGATAATATATAAGAAGACAGAAAAGATAGGAATGGTTGTGCAGAGATTAAAATGCCTAAGTGAAGAATTTATATTGGATCTTTGAGGTAGTAAGGGGCCATGGAAGTTTGTTGAGTAAGCTAGTGACATGATCAGACTTGTGCTTTAGGTAAATCACTTTGGTTGCTTTATGGAGTGTGGACTGGAGTAGGCAGAAGCCTGAGGCAGGAGGAACAAATAGCAGGCTTTTGTAGTAGTCATTGTGAGGGGTGATGAGGGCCTGAACTAGGTGGTAGTAGTGTGAGTGATGTTGGAATTTAATTAATGTTGAATTGTTAAACTAATAACAGCAGCTTAAATAATTTAATCTTTTGTGATACGAATGACACATTAGATAGTTTATTAAGTGTGTCACCAGAGAGACAACTCTAAAACATGTACATTTCAGAGAGGGTACTAGTCAGTATTGAAAGAGAAAGTTCTTTCCTAGGAGTTCCACACACTTATGAAATTGCTGGTCTGGTTTTTAAAAAAAATTGTCATTGTACCATTAGTCTTGTTTAAAATCTTGTTGCCATTTTTAATGACAGAATGTTTAATAGTTTATGAGAAAAAATAGATGTAAGCACATTAGAGAGAGTATTTTCCTAGAATTACATGCTTATATCTTTATATCCTTAGTCTGATTTTGCTTTTCCTTTCTGAAGTCAGTTGGCAGATGACATATCCATATGATAAAGATTAAATGTCATTAAACTTGACCTTTTGATTGGCATGCGAAATTTCTTAGGGTTACTAGTCAGTGAAGGAACGAGAGTTTGGAATTTTTTAGATTAAGAAATCCCAATTTAAGGCTGATATATAGAGTTACTTTTTGTAACATTAAAAACACAGTCGAGAAGTATTTATCTCAATGCTGAGGGATACAGAAACAAATTAAACACTCCTTGCCTTTACGGATCTTAAATTCCATCAGGATAGACAACGCATGCATGTAGTGTAAGGGAATATTTAGGGAGAGGCACTAGGATAGGCCTGCACAGCCTACAGCCTGCAGCCTGCAGGTTGTGCTTATGGCACACCAAAGGATTTCCTCTACGTACAAAGGATGTTTTCCTCTACATTTTTCTCGGGCCACCTGGAATCCTTTGGCGCTGCAAGCTGCCCAGGGGTCGCAGGTTGTGCAAACCTGCACTAGGATATGGAAGTATTAGGAAAGTCTTTATGGAGAGGGTGGAGCTTGAGTTGAACATGAAGGAAACTAGGGATTCTAAGAGGTAAGGTACATTGCAGAACCTAGGTCTGGAGACAAGAGAGAGTTTTGTATGTGTGTGTGAAGAATAGCAAGAAGGCCAGCCAGCTGGGCAAATGGGGTCGTGACTGAGTTCCAGTCTAACCTTAGATACTAGCTGTGTGATCCTGGGCAAGTCACTTAACCCCATTTGTGTACCGGCCGCGCTGACCTTATGCCGGCTGCACCGTACTCTCCTCCTATAAGGAGCAGGCTGCCAGAGTCATACTCACTCATCAGTCTTTGGTCCTCAACTGGATAAACACACAGAGACGAGCCATCGGGAGGCGCCAACACCAGAGCTTTATTCAGAGGCCATCACAGCAAGGCCAAGCAGGAAGGCCAGAGCAACAGAGCAGGAGCCAAGAGAGGGAGCGTGATCTGACCACGCTCGTTCCTAAGTACTTACTAGCCCCTCCTCCCCAGCCCGCTTACTAGCCAATGATTGTAGGGTCAGATACCGAAAGGGGCTGTCTGAGTTTAGCACACCAAGGGAGAGGGAGTGACGTAGGAGGCTAGGACTGGATACAGGAAGGAGGCGTCTGGGATTAGTGCATAGACAGAGTATGTGACCTAAGAAGTCAGGAAGGACACAGGAAGGAGGCGTCTGGGGTCAGTGCTACACAAAGGGACCCATGAAGTCAGGAAGGTCACAGGAAGGAGGTGTCTGGGGTTGACGTTGCATATAGGGAGGGGACTAAGCAAAGGGAACTCAGTCCTCTGCCATCCCACTCCCACGTGGCACCTCCCCTTGCCTCAGGAGCACAAGCTCCAGCTACTTCCTTGCACCCAGCTTATCTCACTGCCCACTGCCTCAGGGCTTCTCCGTACCCAGCCCATCCCAGTTCACCACGACTCCACCTACCACAGCCCCTGCCTCGACTTCCAGATACCCAGATCTTACCCTAATCTTGCCACAGCACCCACCTGGTAGTTGCCAACATAGACAGTCCCTTACACATTTGCATCAGTTTCCTCAGCTGTAAAATGAGCTGGAGAGGAAAGTGGCAAACCATTTCAGTATCTCTGCCAAGAAAACCCCAAATGGGGTTACAAAGAGTTGGACACGACTGAAACTGAACAACAGCAACAAATATGATAGCTTTCAAAATGCTTCTGTGAGGGGCAGGTAGGTGGCGCAGTGGATAAAGCTTAGGCCTTGGAATCAGGACAACCTGAGTTCAAATCCAACCTCAGACACTTGATACTTACTAGCTGTGTGACCCTGGGCAAGTCACTTAACCCCGATTGCCTCACCAAAAAAAAAAAATACTTCTGTGCTTAGCATTTAAAACTCTTTACAAACCTGGCTCCAACTTATCTTTTCTAGTCTTTTTAAATATTATACCCTTCATATACTTTAATAGTCTAGCCAAACTGGCCAGTAAGTCAGGCCTGCACAACTTGTGGCCCCTGGGCTGCTTGAAGCACGCCAAAGAGTTTCGGGTGGCCCACAAAAAATGTAGAGGGAAACATCCTTTGTATGTAGAGAAAATAAATCCCTTGGCATGTTGCAAGCAGCCCGGGGGCCACAGGTTATGCAGGCCTGCAGTAAGTTTTTGAGGTCAAATTTGAACTCAGGAAGATGTGTTTTCCCAACTCCAGGCCTGGCACTCTATCCACTTCGCCATCTAGCTGCCACCCTTGTATTTACATAAGTAATAAGTTTATTTCTGAAGTATTTAGTATCTTTAAGATGTAATGAAAAATGCCATATTGATGGTGACTGGTGATGTTTAACCTATGAAAGAGATTTGGAAAGGATGTGCTTAGCTAGCTATCTGAAGGATATCACATGAAAAAGAATGTCACATGAAAGAGGGATTCAGACTTGTTCTGGTCCCAGAAGGCAGTACTAGTAACAGTGGTTGAAAGGTGGAAATGGGAAGATTTAGGCTTGATGAATGGAAAAAAGTTCCTAGAGATTAGAACTAACCAAAACTGTAATGGAGTGCCTTGGAAGATAGTAGGTTCTCTCTCATTGGAGATCTTGAAGGAGCAGTTAGATGAGTACTCATTGGCTAGTTCTTTTAACTTCTTTGGATGGGTAATTTTTATTTAAAAGAGAAATGGTTTTGTTTTCTGTCTCTTTCAGTTGATCAGTGTTAAAAATGTGATATTTTATAGTCATAGTTATAAGTAAAAACCATAAATTTGTATTCTAAATTTAAAAACTTTAAAGTTATAGATATAATATTAGCCTAATTCATCTTACATTTATCCATTCAATTCATATTTAAGAGCCTACTATGTCAGGCAGTGCTAGGTACTGGTGATACAAAGAATAATAAAACAATCCCTGCCCTCTAGGAGCTTACATTTTACTTCCAGGTGGAGACAGTGAAGACTGTGTACACAGATTATGTTAATACAAAACATATACAAAGTAATTTTTTGTGGGAAAAGGAAAACACTAAAAGCTGGGGCAATCAAAAAAGGCCTGAAAAAGATGTGGCACTTATGCTGAGCCTTGAAGGAAATGGAGGATTCTAATTTATTTCCTTTTTCTCAGTTTGAATTCCAAGGAATTGCCGGGGGCGGGGGGGGGGTGCGGAGGCGGTGGGAACTACATTTAGTTTGTAACAAATCTTTTCTCAAGTCTTCATTTTTGTTTCTTTTGAAGATGTTAGTGACAGTTTTAGTTTTCTTCTGATTAATGATTACAGTAGTGATTATGAAAATTGTTGATTTCATATTTTAATGTGTTTTAGTTGATTACCTGGCTCACACATTTGATTCTCTTTGCTTGGACTTGAAGATAGACGAAGGAAAAGCCTTGTTTTTGGAGTATCAAGCTGTGCCAGTTATACTAAGTCATCTAAAAATAACCAATAAAGGACTGCTCTCCAATGTCATGGATAGCTTACTTCAAATGACAGTGGAATCTCGTAAGTTTTTAAATTGCATAGCCTTAGAAAAAAGTGAAAATGATGTTTTTCTTTTGCTGTAAGAGGTTACCTCTGAAACATCCAGGGACAATAGTTCATTTCAGTTCAATGCAAATTTATTTATAACATTTTAAAAGTAATATTTTAATTTGACTTTCATTTCCAAGGTAAAATTAATATGAAAAGAAAACAATGAAATCAGCCTGTAAGCTGAATTGAACAAGAAATTAGAGATTATAATTGATTGTGTATGTTTGTAAATTCTGTTATTTATTGATTATTAACTTACCCCAAAGTGATGCCCATTTTTTTTAACATAGTTGTATCTGGATTGTCCACACTTCCTGTTCCTTTTTTGACCTTGTTGCATAATTATATATTGTTTACCAAAAAGTTTGGACCAATTCTCAGTTCCACTATCAGTATAATACCATGCCTGCTTTTTTTTTTCCACAGTTCTATGGACATTAGATATGTAAAGAACTGTGCTGGGTGGTATATATGGAAAGATAAAAATAAAATAGTTTCTGCCTTAAAGGAACTTACATTCTACTGAGGGAATACAACACATACACAAAGGAGTAAATATGACGTTATTAGGAAGATAATAGAGCCTTAGAGGAATTGATGCTTGAGCTGAACCTTGAGAGAAGATAAAGATTCAGAGAGGTCCAAGTAAGCCCCCACTCAGACTGATGGGGCTGGTATTTCCTCAGAGGTCAGAAACGGAATGTCCAGTTTAGAGGATTTCTATATTCAGAGGAAACTCTGTTTGGGTTGGAACATAGAGCTGCTGAATGGACCTAGAGAAAAAATCAATAAGCCATGCTGACTAGGTCTACTACAAATTTATGTTGCATAATCTCAACTAGATTATTGCTGAAGCAGTGCAGTCCTTTTATACCTCCTTAATCAAATCCCTGTCCTATTTACCACAACAAGTATTCTAAACCTTTTTATCCGTCCTCATGCCTCCCATTGCACACACTCCTCCTCATTCTTTGCTAAGGACCTTGCCTCATACTTCACCCATGAAACCCATTCTATCCTGTCTTCTCCAGCAGAGTGCCTCCTTTGTCATTCCCACTTTCTCAATAATCTTTATTTCTCTTAACTACTGGTTGCTTCTCTACTGCCTGCAAAAATTCCCATGTCTCTGCTGTCCTTAAAAAACACCGAATGGACGATCCCTTCTGGGTGTTGTTCTGTATCTCTCCTGTTCATGGAAAAGTCAAAAGATGAGTCTGAGGTTGTGGAAAAAAAACTGCAAGTATGGTGATTATTTTCAGTGGAAATAGGGTAAGGTTTATAGAGAAGGATGATGATCTATTTTGGACATGTTCACTTTGAAATACTGAAAGGATATCCAGTGAAGATGAAGACCATTGATAATGCAATACTAGAGTTCAGAAGAGATATTAGGGCTGGATGTGTAGATTTTTTTAATTATTGGAGTAGGGATAATAATTTAACCCATTAGAAGATGATGAGATCACCAAAGAAGAGGATATAGAAAAAAGAGGCTTTAGGCAGAGCCTAAATATACTATATTAGGGAAGTCAAAAAGAGAAAAGAGTAACCAGGAAGAGAAGCAGTCATCAGTATCAAGGAAAGACATCTCTAAGACATAGAGGACTGAATAAGGGCCAATGAATTTATCAGTCAAGAGATCAATTTTAACCTTTCATAGTGTAGTTTTAGTTAAGTAGAAGGGCAAGAAACCATATTGCAGGAGGTTAAGAAGTGATTGTTTGCTGAGCAGATGGAGGCAGTGAATATAGACCACTCTAGCTTAGTAGTAAAGCTGAAGCTGAAGGATATATAAACAGTAATTTCAGGGAATAGCCTAATCAAGTAAAGGGCTTTTTTTAGGATGGATAAGATTTGAGCATGTTTGGGTGGCTAGGTGGCACAGTGGATAGAACACTGACCCTGGAGTCAGGAGGACCTGAGTTCAAATCCAGCCTCAGACACGTAACACTTCCTAGCTTTGTGACTCTGGGCAAGTGATTTAACCCCAATTGCCTCACCAAAAAAAAAAAAAAAAGATTTGAGCATGTTTGTATTAAGAAACCAAGTAGATAGCAACAGATTTTAAAACAGGTGAAGAGAAGCTGGGTCCAGTTCCCAAAGCAAAATGAGAGGGAATGGAATCCAGGGTTCTAGCAAAGAAGAGTAAGCTATGGCTAAAAGAAGACCTTCTCTTCATTAGAGAGGGGACTGATGGGAGAGAGTGTAGATGAAGATGTCAGATGAGTTTTGAGGTGTGGAAGAAGGAAGGATAAACGTGTTCATGATGGTTGACTGAGATTCTTAGTCTAGGAGAAATCAACTATCATGAAGAAGGATGGTGGGGCACTGGAGGCTTGAGAGAAGAACTTTGAAACAGCTGCTGTGGGGGCACGTTTGTCAGTCTAAGACTAATATGTGGATTTCTGGTGAGCAGTAAGAGTCTCGGTGATTCTAGATAATGTAAATTTGTATTGTACCAAATTGAGATAGTTGTGTGTCACCATTGTTCCTTGAGAATTGAAATAGAGAAGGCAAAACAGATTCAAAGTTACCCAAAGTTGAGGGTTAGCAGACTATGACCAGCAGGACAGGTTGAATGCTTTAACTGGAGATTTAAGACTTGAAAAGCAAGTCTTTGTTCAGTAAAGGGCTATGAATAGGGAGGATTAGTCGGCTGAAGACCGTGGTGAGGCAAAGAATAAATTTAGGAGGAGTAAGAAATAAAAGGAAAAGAGTTTTATGATCATATAAGGGAAATTCAGACGTCACTGTCAAGGAGATGCACCCATCTCTGTGGGGTGGCTGATGTGGAGACAGAAGCGTGGAAATTAAGGTTGATGAAGTAGGAGATCAGGGTATCTGCAAGAGTAGCATTGTGAATGTAGAAATCATCAAGGATGATGGTAAGTATAAGAGTAGAGAGGAAGACTGTTAAACCAAGTACTGTTTTCTGGGGAAAGGAAAGAGGATGACCCAGAAGCTGGTAGGGAATCATAGCAAAAATCTGGATAAATTGTTATAGAGAGATGGCGTAAACTTCAAAGGAGAAGTTGCTTAATTATATATAGCAGAGGTTATTAACCTTTTTTGTGTCATGTACTTCTTTGACAGTCAGATGAAACCTCTTCTTAGAATGATGCTTTAAATACATAAAATAAAATACATGTGATTATAAGGGAAACCAATTATATTGAATTCTGTTTATCAAAATAATAAGAAAAAAAACTCGTGCATGCGAAGTTAAGAACCTGCATGTGCAAAGATGTGGAAGTGGTAGTTTTGAGGTTAAGGAAAACATTTGTTCCTGGTTCAGTATCTTTTTTTTTTTTAATTTTTAAAATTAATTTATTTTGAATTATCAACAATCACTTCCATAAGCTTTTGAGTTTTAAATTTTTCTCCTCCCTCTCCAAGACGGCGTGCAATCTGATATAGGCTATACATATACCTTCCTGTTAAACATATTTTCACATTAGTGATGTTGTAAGTAAGAATTAGAACTAATAGGAGGAACTACCAGAAAGAGGAAACAAAATACAACAGAAGAAAAAAAATAGCTAATAGTATGCTTTGATCTGCATTCAGACTCCATAGTTCTTTCTTTGGATGTGGATAGCATTTTCCATCATGAGGCCTTTGGAGATGTCCTAGATCTTTGCATTGGTAAAAAGGGTTAAGTCCACCAATATTAGTCATCGCGCAACATGGCTGTTACTGTGTACAATGTTCTCCTGGTTCTGCTCACTTCACTCAGCATCAGACCTGTTCATTATCTTGCCACTTGTCTTTTAATTTGGAACATATAGTGTGCCGGCCGCGCCGACCTTGTGCTGGCTGCGCCGTGCACTCTCCTCCTATAAGGAGCAGGCTGCCAGAGTCATACTTACCAGTCTTCGGTCCTCAACCGGATAAACACAGAGACGAGCCTACCAGGAGGTGCCAACACCCGAGCTTTATTCAGAGGCCATCACAGCAAGGCCAAACAGGAAGGCCAGAGGAACAGAGCAGGAGCAAAGAGAGCACGTGCTCCGACCGCGACCTTTCCTAAGTACCTACTTAGCCCCTCCTCCTCAGCCCGCCTACTAGTCAATGATTGTAGGGTCAG